CATTCATGGCCTACGCAATAGACACGCCGTAGTTGGAAAAGTATTTACGACGTGCAAAAAAAGCAAGTCGTAAAAGTGAGAAACTACGACGTGCATTTATTGTATGCCGTTGAAGTGGTGCCGTAAAAAGTCAATTTTGTTGTAGTGTTAATTACAGTATTCTTGGGGTAAGGATGAGCATAGAACACCCATTGTCATTTGTGTATTAAGGACAAGGTTGGGCATATTCCTAGAAAATTCATTGTTGAAGTTGGTTGAAAGGTTGTAGGCTAAGAAACACAGACACGAACATGGATACGCTAACATAAAAATTTTCAAAAAAAGGTTACAATACATGGGTGACACATGCAGAATATATAATTTTATATATTTATTATTCTTGGGGTAAGGATGAGAGTAGAATACCCAATGTAATTTGTGTATTAAGCTCAAGGTTGGGGACATTCCTAGAAAATCCATTGTTGTAGTTGGTTGAAAGGTTGTAGGCTAAGAAACACAGACACGAACATGGATACGCTAACATAAAAATTTTCAAAAAAAGGTTACAATACATGGGTGACACATGCAGAATATATAATTTTATATATTTATTATTCTTGGGGTAAGGATGAGAGTAGAATACCCAATGTAATTTGTGTATTAAGCTCAAGGTTGGGGACATTCCTAGAAAATCCATTGTTGTAGTTGGTTGAAAGGTTGTAGGCTAAGAAACACAGACACGAACATGGATACGCTAACATAAAAATTTTCAAAAAAAGGTTACAATACATGGGTGACACATGCAGAATATATAATTTTATATATTTATTATTCTTGGGGTAAGGATGAGAGTAGAATACCCAATGTAATTTGTGTATTAAGCTCAAGGTTGGGGACATTCCTAGAAAATCCATTGTTGTAGTTGGTTGAAAGGTTGTAGGCTAAGAAACACAGACACGAACATGGATACGCTAACATAAAAATTTTCAAAAAAAGGTTACAATACATGGGTGACACATGCAGAATATATAATTTTATATATTTATTATTCTTGGGGTAAGGATGAGAGTAGAATACCCAATGTAATTTGTGTATTAAGCTCAAGGTTGGGGACATTCCTAGAAAATCCATTGTTGTAGTTGGTTGAAAGGTTGTAGGCTAAGAAACACAGACACGAACATGGATACGCTAACATAAAAATTTTCAAAAAAAGGTTACAATACATGGGTGACACATGCAGAATATATAATTTTATATATTTATTATTCTTGGGGTAAGGATGAGAGTAGAATACCCAATGTAATTTGTGTATTAAGCTCAAGGTTGGGGACATTCCTAGAAAATCCATTGTTGTAGTTGGTTGAAAGGTTGTAGGCTAAGACACATGGACACGAACACGAACACGGATAATTGGCAGTGGTAGAATCTTCCTATGGAACTAGACCATATGATAGGTGTTTCCTCCGTACAACATATAATGATAATCCATATCAGTAAAAAATATTAGTTCACTGTAGTAAGAATTGAACCCAGGCATCACGCTTGGTAAGGGAGCTCCTCATCCACCATGCCAACAGCTTGGTCTTGAAATGTTGTTGGTTGAATATTAAACTTACAATTCAAGCTCCATTAACATTGTTATAGCAGTCAACATAATTTTGAGGCATCTCTATGGAGATAACTTGAAAGCAAGTGTTTTTCATTGTGCTGGTGCCAGTACAAATCTAAGTTAGTGCCCGTTTAAGGTGAAACATCTCTGATAAATCTCCTAGCGCCAACATTACTAGATGTTGAAATAACATGCATTACTTAATCAAGTGTAATTACAGCAACACCTTTGAGGTATGCTTTCCTGCAGCTTGCAGGGTTGAACCACATCTAATAGGAATGTCAATCAGATGAATAGAGTCAATAATGGATTCGTAGCAGGCCAAACATTGAGACAGTAGTTGATCATTCTGACATAAAAACACTGGTATTGAGTATTCCAAAACATTTTTGCATCAATGAATTGTCAAAAATAGAAAAAAAGAGTTCTAATTGTCAAACAACAATTTACCTGACTTGCACCTTTAGATCCTGTAATAAGAACTGATACAACTGGCATCTAATGCATAACATTTGTAACATGAATTGACTCTCTATAGGAAGGCCATACATATGATTTTAAAAGTTAAATGATTCTATGGAAGTTGCAAGGAAAAATATTACGAAGAAAAAATGGTTACTTATTTGGCTTTTTCTGAAATGCAGTCAAATTATTCAAGCATGAACATACTTAAGTGCCCAAGAAACACTTCAAGAAAGCAACGTACAAAATGAACAAGAAAGCAAACCATTTTCCATCATGTACACAAACATATAATGCTCAAGTCAAAATACAAAAAAGGCTAACTTTAGATAGCCAGTTCCCAGCTCCATCTTCCTATAATGACATAATTATATCCACCAATTCTTATAGTTTCTTTATCTCATCAGAAAGAAGTGACTAAGATTCCTCTACTATATGGACTGTATACCAATATACGCAATCTCATCATGTATGCATTTACGATGTGAAAAGTCAAAAACTAGAACATGAAAGGACCAAAAACTAATCCGAGTCTGAGGAAGATGATTGATCACTAGTATCAGCTCCATTGCCATCAGTTTCTAAAATTCCTTCATACTCATAATCATGAAGCCAAGGGCCGTTGAACACTGCAAGTCGCTCACACTTGTCTTTAAGGTCACCCTCCATCTCCACATTCCAACAACCTTGAATGTCAAGATGGGTAAGTTCCTTGCACTTGGTAAGGATAGCATCAAGCCCATGGTCACCAAAACGCCCAAAACCAAGTTGAAGATGACGGAGGCCTGTCATCGTATCAGCTATGATCATTGCCTCGGAATCATCAATCTTAAAAGTCACCACTTGTGTGGGATTTTCCCATTCTGGTGGGGGCATGTTCCGTTTCAAGTGAATGAGGGACTTGCAATTCTTTCCAAAATATGTAAGGCCTTTGCATGTGATCTTCAAACAATAGCTAATGTCCAAGACAGTGATATTCACAAGTGACCCTGCATGCTTCTCAACCATCTTATCAGTGACCTCGCTCATAGGAATTTGCAGGACCTTGAGATATCTCGCGCTACAAGTTCAAGGAAAAGGGAAAAAAAATATCACGTCGGTTTGATATACTGTTGTATCACCAAACATGTGAGGATGGCAATTGTCAACACATTAACTCATGGAATAACAATGTTAAGCACATGGATGTCACAAGAACATCAACTTTGTGATAGTTTTTGACGTAATAATTTCCCTTGGAGCATTTTCAGAAAGCAAATAAGAATATTGATCTTCAAAGATCAAGAACTCATTGTGCTATTTTATCCTAATAAAAGAAAACCAACTCATTCCAATTGAGTAGAAATGAATCAGCCAATCTAACTCTCAAGCATCACATGTAATACTAGAATGTAAAATAGGTATATAAACTGGAGTGTCATAAGTGGCGTACGAATTCATATTTATAAAAGGTTTGAAAGATTCTCCAAGGCTACTTGAATTTTCTCTCAGTCCCCACCAAAACTTATGTATAGAAATGAGCGGCATATTCATATGTTTATAAAAAAAATAACATTAAAACCAAAAAAGAACAGAAAATCTTTCCATTCTGCACCATTACCATTGGAACGGAGTGACATTCATCAAATTAACAAACTAAAATAAACTGTACTGCCTTCTTTTCTTGAATGCATATTTCTTTATTACGATCACAACAATGTTCATACAGCACGAAATTCTCAGGCCAGACATAAATGAACATGTAGCTGGAACTGGTTTAAAATTCATTCATCACATCCTCCACTTTGTTTCTTATTATCAAAATATACATGCATACATGATTATGAAGCTTTTTTTTCTACCAGCAAAGGAAACGTTGAAACAAAGATGGCTCTTTCCTTTTTTCTAACCAGACCAAAAGAAAACTTTGCTTATAAGAGATTTTTCTTTTAATTTTTTAATTTTTTACAGAAAAATCAACAGCCCCAAATTGGAAGAGAAATCTCAGTAAATGTCCTCAAATCATACCTAAAATTATGTTCTCTTTAAAAATAAAAT